GCTCCCGTAAAGATTTACAGCCTCGGAAACCCTGTTCAGGGTCGCTATGGGTTGGAACCGACTTGACGGCACTTAACAACAAGAACAACATCAGGACACTCACTCAATGGGATATACAAAGGCCCCAGCAGTTGGAGGTCAGTGCAAGGTCCATGCGGCAGGCAGGACACCCAGAAAGGTGGCATGGCCTGTAGGTGGCTTACCGAAGCCAGTCGATTCAGGTAAAGAAGGAAGGTCTTGAGAGTAGTGTGGTCTTTGGTCACCCTGTAAGGCCAGATCAGGTCTATATCCCAACATAGAAAACCTGACCCACTTCCTCATTAATGACTTTCCAACCCATCTACCCTCAGGCTTACTTTATGTGCTTTCTTTTTAAAGGTATCACTTCTGGGGGAAGTAACTTGGTGGGTTAAAGGTTAAATGTTCAGCTGTTAGCTGAGCGGTTGGTGGTTTGATTCCACCCACACACTCTGCCAGATAGAAAGACTTGGCAATCTGTTCCCATAAAGAAAACCACCGAGAAGACCCTATTGAGAAGTTCTACTCTGTTACAAGGGCTCCTACTGACAATGCCTAACAGAAGTGACTGGAGCGGGGCTGAGCTCAGGATGCTCGGTCATAGACTGAGGACCATCCCCCAGAATGTCAACCCTCTAGTCTGGGTGACAGGACCAGGTGTGTATCAAACCCTTACCTTCCAGACCCCCAACCTTGGCCTCCTGCCTCCCACTTCCTGAAGATAACCCTCGGGCCATCTTGGATGATGTCCCCTCTGCTCCTCACTGCCTATCTCAGCTCAAAGTTTTCCCGAATGCTCCAGGCCTACCAACCTCCTTAGTTACATGCATCTCTGACTCAGTGTGTTGTTATAAATGTGCTCACTCAGCTTTCTGGGGGTCTCCTTGTCCTCCCAGCTCAAGGAGGGGCTCTGGGAATGGGGATGCCACAGCTCCTTTCTTCTATCCCTCCACCCTAGATGCCCTGAACCCATCTTCAGGATGTCCCTGAACTCACCTTCCTGGATCTCCCCGAAAAGAGACAGCACCCGAACTGGCTCTCTCTTCCATGCAGGCACAGTCTTAAATATTTCAAAAGAACTCTCCTGTTTATTAAGAAACAAACAAACAAAGGGTATTTTGCTGGCCACATGGTTACAATGAAAACTTCAGTCCAGCAGAGACATATCTGCCTGGTGCAGTGACTCCCAGAAGACCAGCTGTGCCCACTCCCTAGCAGTCACTCAGCATAGGAAGAGCAGGAGATGAAGGTGTTTTTCTGATTTTGAAGGACGATAGATACTGCTACCTCCAGAAGAAAGATTTCTTTTGTCATTCTTAAATTCTGAGGCTTAAATTAGAAAATTCTAAATATGCCACTCTTGCAAGAAGCTCCTAACTCATCCTGCCTTCCAGACTCTGGCCTCCCCAGTCTGTGGATCGGCCACGGACCTGCAGTGAGCTCAAAACAAGGCCCACAGTCATCCTGCACTTCCCAAAGTGGCTGAGGACTTGGGAGGGACCCTGGTGCCCGTCCCATGCTGCAGTGCCCCATGCTGCAGTGCCCACTGGCACTCTGAATTCAATCACAAAAGAATGCCACTGAGGACAAAGGACATGGCACCCACACTCTCTAGCCCTTCCAGCTCACCCCTTCCAGGACATCAGTGCCCAGGGCAGAGCCAGGTTGAGCCCACTCCTAAACAGGCCTTGATCAGGACCCCTCAAAGAGAAAGAGGAATCAGGTCACGTGGTGGTGCCTAGCTCTTGAAAATGAAGGGCATAGTGCTGCCAACTGTAATAGATGCCAAGCATGAGCAGGGGCACCTGCCAGGGTGGGGAGCTCACAGGAGACATCAGGTCACCGATGAGGGGATTCAGGAAACCAGGTGAGAGGGAGTCTGGGAGCTTGAGAAGCTGCCAGAGTAGACAGTGAGGAGGGTGGGCTGGAGTCGCACGCTGGACTTGACTGGGTTTACATAGATTATGAATGCAGGTGTAGTGCTGGTGGCTGGGATGGTCTCTCTGGGGAAGAAAGATGGCAGGAACCCAGGTCTCAGTTCTTTAGAACTCGAAGTCAGGTGGCTTCTCTCCTACCTGAGTGCCGTTCACTGGGTCATAGTTAACAACATTTCTCAATCGTTTAATTCTCTTGTGAAGCAAAATTTCTCCTGTAACTTTCTAGCACAGTGCTCTTTTTACACTGAGATTTACCGGTTCTGCCATTTGTGTACTGAGAAGGAGGTTATATAGGGAATTTATGTTGTTTTCACAAAAATACCTTAAGATCACCCTTGTCCAGTATGAACACTTTGTGTTAGTGTCAGAGCTACCATCACAATTACCTCACACTAGTGGTTTATAATGACAGAAATTTATTGTCTCAAGATGCTGGATGCTGGGAGTCTAAGATCAGGGTGTCAGTCATGTTGACCCCTTCTGAGGCCCAGAGGCCTCTCCCAACTTCTGGTGGCTCCAGATGTTTCTTGGCTTGCAGATATATCTCTCCAATCTTTGTCTCTGTCTTCACAATCTTTGTCTCTGTCTCTGTGTCCCAAGTCCCTTCTCCTTCCTTTTATGAGGATACCAGTCACTGATTTAGGATCCATTCTAAGTCCAGGATGGTCTCATCTCAAGAACCTTCACTTGGTCACCTCTGTAAAGACCTTCTTTCTAAACAAGGTCATATTCACAAGTACTGGTTAGGATGTGGACATATCATCTGGGGGAAGGAATTCAACCCACTGCACTCTGATGGGTTCACAGCTCTTTCCGAGCTTGCCAGATCCTGATCTTGACCCTGGAGGCCTGACATCTATGTTGCTGTCCGGTTGCACTGCCTTGACTCCCTTCAGACAAGCTTATATAGCTGGATGTAGGGACACATGAAGACTCCCTAGCCAACTTTTCCTGGGCTGACTTTCTTACTACAACAAGTGCCTCATTTCCAGACTTGTAAAAAACTCAACTGCCATACCAAAGTCATTAAAAACAAACCACAGAGTGGCATTTGTTATCCAAGAGGAAAACTGTTGAAAATTTACTTAAAAGTCTTCAATTTAATCATGTATCAAAGCAAAGGGGTATCTGGCAACTAGTAACCAGAGGTAAGGAATCCTTGGGTGACAGACACATGCAAACAGTTAGGTGCTTGGCTACTAATGGAAAAATTGGTGGTTCAAAACCAACCAGAGGTGTTTTAGAAGAAATGCCTGGAGAGTTACTTCTGAAAAACACAGTCACTGAAAATCCTAAGGAACACAGTTCTATTCGGACACAAAAGGGCTTGCCATGAGTCCAGTCTTCAATGGATAGTCGTTTGGTTTGGTTTTTCTTTTGAAATCAGAGAGAAAATAATACATGCTTGTTGTCAGCTGCTGTGGAGTCAGCTATTCACAATGACCCCATGCACAACTAAACAAAATGCTGCCTAGTCCTGCACCACCCCCATGATTGGTTATACATTAGACCGTTCTGATCTACAAGCTTGCCATTGGCTGAGTTTGGGAAGTAGATCACCAGGCATTTTTTCTTAGTCCCTTTAGGTTAATGTTGCAACAAGTTTCTGCTCCATTTCTGCTCTGTCCTGTAAGCTCAAACACTCCCCCACTCCTTACCGCCTCTTGGTCATGGAAGGCTTTCAATCGTGTCCGCCATTTCTTCCTTCTCTGAAGTAGTCCATTGCTAGCGAAAGGTAGGCACAGGAAGCACACCCAGTTACTCATGGCTTGAACTCTCTCTGAGGTCCCCGGACTGACCAGCGTATCAACACACTCAAAGCAGTAGCATCTAGAGTCAAACAGAAAGCCACAGTCATTGACATGGGGTTTCTTTAGTCACCAGTGAAACCTCACGCCTCCTCATTGTTTGTCAGTGAACAATAAGAATCACGTTCAGGCTTCATTTGAAAAGAAAAAGTCAGTCCATCAGTGCCTGTCCTCATGTGCTGGGAAGGGACATTATTATGGGCGTAGAGAAAGAGAGAACTGCTTAGAGTGACAGAAACCAAAAGACTAGGGGACAAAAAGATGGGATTTATTGACAATGTTGTTGTTAAGTGCCATTGAGTCAGTTCTGACTCATAGAAACCCTATGCACAATAGAATGAAACAATGCCTAGTCTTGTACTATCCTCACAATTGTTGTTATGTTTGAGCCTACTGTTTTTGCCACTGTGTCCATCATCTCGCTGGGGGGATTCCTCTTTTTCATTGATACTCCACTTTATCAAACATGATGTCTTTCTCTAGGAACTAGTCCTTCCTGACATGTTCAAAGTACAAGAGAGGAAGTCTTGCCATCTTGCTTCTAAGAAACAATCCAACTGTACTTCTGAAATAGATTTGTTTGTTCTTCTGGCTACGGTAGATTGAAAAAAAAAAAAAAGAAACCAAGAAAAGAAACCTTGAAACCACCATTTTCCTCTCTACCCAAACTTTAAATCCTGCAGAAATAGCTTAACAACTCCTAGAAAACCGGAATGCAGCAGCCAGATGAGAGACAGAATTTTTGTGGTGAGGAAATTGTAAATGGAAGTATGACTTAGAAAAACCAAAGGCAGAGGGAAAAGGCACCAGGTGACAGGCACCATGGATGAGGTTGGTATGTAATGACAGAGGTATGAACATACCCCTTACCCATCTCCTGGCCATGGGGTGTGGGGTTTCCGTTACTAGATTCTATTAGTATGAAGAAGCACTTGCATTTTGGCAATACTACTAATAGAAAAATCACAAATGTAAATCTTTTGCTACCTCACCTCCCTTAGATCCAGGCTTTATGTCTAATATAATAATTGAGATGGAAATTGAACAATTGGGAGGGAGTCATTCTTTTAGGGGAATTTTCCTATACCCTGAACTCAGTAAATGAGAAAGATGGCTGATTTCTAGACTTGTGGGTAGTGATTTATTTGCTCCTTTCCTCCTGGGTGCCCTGTTCCAGAGAAGCTGGCTCCTTGTCGTGGGTGTCCTGAACCTCACCGGGTGCAATCGGGGTTTTCACAGATGAGCAGCGTCTCGCCTGAGCAGCAGATGGAGCAGTAGGATTGGTAGCCATCATCATCATACAAGAAAAGGGAGTCCAGGAACTTGTTCTGGGAAAAGAGCAGAGCATGGCTATCTTCTGTCGTCTTTGCTTGGAGGTCATACCACTGAGCCTTCTGCTTACCTTGCATGGAATACACATTCCTCCCTCAAACAGAGGGTGCTCTGTCGAGACCTGGAAACTCCCACAGCAGATGCAGATGTCTAATGTGAACATTCAAAATGCAATGCATATTATAATGGCATAAAATATATCGACACATACACACAACAAAAGTTAGGCATTGTTGATTCCAACTCATGGCAACCTCATGTGTTCAGAGTTAACTGCTCCTGTGACTGTGGCCATTTGGAAACAGAATGCCAGGTTTGTCTTCTGAGGTACATCTGGGTGGGCTTGAACTATCTAACTTTCAGTTCACTTAATTGTTTGCGCTACCCAGAACCTTACTTAAATATAGATTTAATCAAATAAACATGCTCCAAAAATTACAAACATACAAGGGAGCTTCAAAAAGTTTATGGAAAAATTTCATTGTCTTTTAATTCCATTCCACTTTTTGAAGTCCCCTTGTACTAAAGATCTAAACAAATAAAAAACATAACTATGTTTGTGGATCAGAAAACTTAATATTAAAATAGCAATATTTCCTAAATTAATCTACTGATCCCTATCAAAGTCCAAGTTAACTTTTTGACAGAAATGAAGCTGATCCTAAAATTCAAAAGGAAATGCAAACGATCCAGAATAGGCAAAGCCATACGGAGAGAAAGTACATTCGTGGTTACCTAGGCTGCTAGCCAACAAAGTTGGAGATTCAAGTCTACTCAGAAGCATCTCAGAAGAGAGGCCTGGTGATGTACTTCTGAAATATCAGCTAGTGAAAATCCAATGGAGCTCAGCTCTACTCTGACACACCTAGGTTTGTCATAAATTGGAGTCAACTTGATGGTAACTAGTAGTGGTGGGAGAGGGTTGAAAGAGAAAAAAATAGGGCAAAGGCAGTGATTGTTAATGCAGGGGGTTTCTTATTGGGGTGACAAAAAATGTTCTAAAATTAGTTTGGGGTGATAACTGCAAAACCCTGTAAATATAATAAAGACACTGGATCACATGCTTAAAAGAAGCTTTGGGAAGCCTGGGGTGGACCAAGGGAATGCAAGCAGAATACCAGGGAAGTCAGCTTGCCTTCTTCTAAGAATGACTGTGTTGAAATTAAAGCAACACTTTCATTTGCCTGGTCATGAGTTAGTGTATGACCACTTACCTTCTATATGCCGCTGCTTAATCCTGACTTCATGTGCAATATGATCTGGAAAAGAAAATGAGAAGAGAATATTCATTCGGTCTCTTATTTCCCAACCTAAATGTAGTCAAGAAATGAAAGCAAGAAAAGAGAACACATATGTATGTTCTCTTAAGTCACAGTCATTCAAGATCTCATCCTTCCCAGGGTACCTGAATGAGATGGAATATTCCAAAAGTCTGAAGCTCCAGAAACTGGGGGTCTGAGAAAAAGGGAACCCACCTCTGCTGGACTGGGGTGACGGGGGACATGACAGCTCACTGGAGCCCACCAGGATCACATCCGTGCTGTGCTCTTCCTCCAGGTCCATGACTGATCAGGGCCAGGGGCCAACAAGCCATGACAACGATGACCATGCATGGGGACAGGACACAAAGAGGGAGAAAACGGTCCATCAGTTTCTGTCCGGGAGCCATGGTGTATCTGAGTTAATGCTGGCAGTGCTCAGCCCCCAGCCCAGCATGGCACCCACTGTGACACTCATCCGTCCTAACTCTGTGGATGGGGGCAGGAAGGATGGTGGACAAGGCCAGGGGCAAAGGGGCTCATGGGAACCCTGTGTCAGGCTTGTTGCTGGCCCCATCACTCCCTCCTCATCTATGTTCTGCCACAGTGGCCCCACAGAGGGGTCAAGTCCACTGCAGCCCCTGTGCTCTCCTGCAGCAGGGGACCACTCAGTGGACTCCATGCTCCCACTTCCCGCAGAGTCCCTGAGGCCCCAGCAAAGACTTGCTGAGATGACAACCTTCTACCGCCCCTGTCCCCTCAAAGGTAGGGCCAGGTGGAGAGGAAAAAAAGCCCACCGGTGTCACAGGACGCTCCCCACTTCTCCTTGTCCAGGCCTTCCAGAGGATCCAGACAGTCGGCAGGATCTGCGTCAAGGCCCTCCTGGGACTCCAGGTTCAGGGTCCCTGGGGAGGGCAGGGCCATGAGACAGGGGACAGTGCCTTCCCTAAAGCAGAAGGACCACAAGAAACCAGATCCAGGTTGGAAAAACCAGGGAGCTTCGGGGTGGACAGTGGAGGAGGCCTGCTCCCAGAATCCCAGAGGTGTAATGCGGGGGCGTTCACG